TACACTTGGCGCAGTGGGAGAGTAGAGGAAACGAGAAAATTTGCCATTTCATTGCACTATGACACCCCCCCCCCGCTCGACGTCGTATTGGAGGGGAAAAGTGGGCGGATTCAGGCTGTGTCGACTGTTCTCAGAAATCAAGGTGAGGGTGGTAGTAGAGGTAGGAAGAAGGGTGGCCGTACTGGGGGAGCCTCCTGAGTCTCATGGTGGTGGGGGCATCGAGACCCCCATAAAGGAGGGAGTTTTTCATAAAGTGCGAATGTCATCGATGACCCTGGGTTTCACCCATTGTATGAAAGATAAATACTAGTATTTTCCATGAGACCCTTCCATCACAAAAAAACCCTTGAAGCTTGTTCAAAATTTTTCGTTCTTTTTCAAATCCAACTTTTTCAACAATGTGTAATACTTGTTTTATAATTATAAAATGTGGAGCGAAACACGAAACATATTTTGCCCCAAATTAAATATTTTCTTCGTGCTCTCTTCGCATGCAAAGATAAATTGAAGGGGGATCGGCGATTCTTAGCAAAGAAGAAACGACTGAAGTGCAGAGCTGTTTGCAAAAGTGCTGCATCTGCCTTACGTCTTCCATTCAGAATTGCAAGCATTTGCACACATTTTGACTTGAATTGTAGGCCATGATATCTTCAATAAGGCGTTTTTCGCTTCAAAAGACACCATAGATGAAATCGTAAAGATAGCAAGCTCAATGGGTAAGTGCACGGTCCGACCTCTGCTCTCTACAAGTGCAATGCAGCACTTGTACAGGTGGGAGCAAAAAAAGTCATTTCGGCCACGACACCAAAGTTTTTTGCAGAGGAAGCCGCCGTTGATGGAATTTTGACGACAAAATATTCCCCAGCTGTCCCCCATGAGCACACACTGGCTGGTTCTCTTTCACTGTCCTCACCTCCGTTGAAATGTGGCATCTGCCATCAGTGTCCAGCTCAAGGAGGCCTACCGTAATGGCTCTAGCCTGGAACTTCTTTCCTTGTAATTGATTAACAACTTCTCCCAGAGTAACTAACGTTAATTATGCAAGACCCCTTTCTATCCTAGTTTCGAAGCTCGCGATTTCAGACGCCTAAGGAAACTCTTCTGATGTCGTTGTGGACAGAAGGCTGTTATCAATTATTTTTGATACACTGAGAAATGCTCTTCAACTTTGAAAAGAGATCATTCGTCACTCGGATGAATCTAGCAAAGTGTAATAAATTCCAGTTCAATTGTGGTTAGGAGTGACATTCTTCAGTGCTCCCCCTCCCCCGTTTTTCCCCTGCCCACTGCGTCATTTGGACCACCACCAGTGACCCAGAATCGTTTTATCTTCTTATATAATATACAATGACCTACTCAAATTTCGAAATACTCAAATAGTCGTTTTGATAGACTTGTACTCTGCATACAATCGCGTCCATGGACGCAACACTGAGATGTGACAAAGGTGTACTGAAGAAGATTTTGGGGGAGAGGGGGAGGGGAGGGGCCAGCAAACGGGAGGCTCGCGCTAATTTGAACGCTTGTCTTGATGTTTTACACGGCGTCGGTGCCAGAACCTCCTCTTGTCGGTCAGGGATTTCACCCAGCAGCGCCTTGTGTCTCGGGCTGAGGGTATGGTATCCAGTCGGACCTTCCAAATTGAGTGTTTCATAAAAAGGCTACCTCCACGTCCTCAAATTCTCATGCTAAAGAGCCCAGCTTACCACGTGTAGAATTTCCTGAATTTACACAGTTTCAAAGCGAAATTGGAGCCCTCTCAAATGAAACTAAAAAATTAGGCGGAAAAAGCTCTGTTTGTTTGGAGCAGCTAGTCGAAAAACCTTTTGCACCCTTACTTGCTGCAGCAAGGTCTGCCTTTTGACCGTCACCCCGCAAAACCTTACTAATAGTATTTCTATCAGAAAGCAACCCTCATTAAACAAAGAGGAACTGCTGGGTATTTATTTTGAATAGGAACTTTGTTTTTGTCCTATAAAAGCAGAAACGTTCAGAGTTCGTTAGATGAGTGTCGCGCCGGTCGTTCACGAGCCGCTTCATCTTCGAGTCAACGAGGTGCCGCCATGGTCGGCGGCATTGATGTTCGGATTCCAGGTTCGTCCTTTTTTTCCTGAAATCAAACAGCGCTCTCAATAATCAAATATTTCTCTAGTTCTTGTGGAAATGGATTTTCTACTACTTTACTTTTCTTGAGTGAATCTTACAATCCTACGAAAATTCGATAACCATTTTCAGTAGAATCCGCATGAAAGAAGTGTATTTGAATCTGGTTTTACACTGAAGGGCATTTATGGTGCTAAGAATGTAAATGTAATAAAACTAGTCTTTGGAAACATCATTTACCCTTCCCTTGAGGTGTTACCCACGTTGCGCTCGTCGTCCATCATTAGAGTGCTAACAATGGGTAGCGACTTTACAATTGCAGGGTCGATATTCATTTCCCACCTGCACAACAGTAATTTTTGGTGTTTTTGGTGTGGAAGTTCAGTAAGTACTTTTTTATCGACATATATATATATATATATGTATATATTATTGTATATGTATATGTATGTATATTCAGTAGTATATATTAGTAAAGGCTACGACAGGAAGGGACTTTATTGGGGGAGGGGGAGAGTTTTGGAAATCTAAGTCTAACAGACTATACTTAAATTTTGGCAGACTTCAAGAGGTAGTGTATGGAGTCCTTTTGGTCATCTAAGCCTACATAGTCTTTCTTCTTCTTCTTCTTCTTATTCTTTAGCGTCTGTCCCGCTTGTAGGCGGGGTCCGCTTTTCTGATGTGTTGACGCCACTTCTCCCGATTGAATGCTTGATCGGGGTGGATGTTAACGCTCTTCAAGTCTTCGTGCAACGTGTCGAGCCATCGCTGCTTCGGGCGTCCTCTAGGCCGCTTTCCGCGCACGTCAAGGTTGAGACCGATCTTACGGACACTGTCCTCATTCGCGCGAAGAACATGTCCATACCATCGCGACAATGTTTAGCCTACAATAAGCTATAATGTATGCTATACGAAGAAGTCATAAAGTTTAGTGTTGACTTAGTTATTTGTGCTCTGAATGGACGCTGATTGAAACACTAAATCAATCATTCTCCAGAAGGAAAAGGTTAGGATCTGTCAAACCAAGCAGAGCCGCTTTTTTTTGACTCATTTATGGAATTTATCTTAAATAGATATGAGATAGTAAAGGCATAGCAAGAGTTGAAAAGCACTAGTCAAGCAGAGCGGAAGGGGAGGGGCGGGGGGGGGGGGGAAAGAATGCAGAATAAAAGCGGGGAAGACTTTCTTTCTGGAGACCTACCTCATAATATAATATTAGATTGCTCTGGAAATAGCAGAACCATGTCTCAGGTATTTTTGCTTGCTTTTCAGCAAGCGATGCTGTGCCTGTCAGGTCTGCTGGTATACCCATTCCTTGTCTCCGAGGCCGTCTGCGCCGGTAACGCCACAGTACAGCTGCGAGTGCAGTTGATAGCGGCGACCTTTGTTAGCTGTGGTATCGCTACAATAATCCAGACCACTTTTGGATTACGGTAAGTCTCCTACGTTCTTTGAACCCGTCAAAAACCCTTTTTGAAATTGTGATTTATCCAGCCATCAAAGTGAGTACAGAATTCATGCTGATTTGCAGGTTATGTGTTCTACACGGTCCAGCAATGGCCTTTCCTTCCTCCATTATTAGCCTACAAGGCGTTACGAGCAAGTGAATGTCCATATACGGAGCACGACTATGTGGACGTGGAACTTTGGCAAGGGAGACTTCAAGAGGTAGGGGCCTTATTGAAGTCTTTTAGACATCTCCGAACCAGTTCGTTTTCAGATCTCTGGCAGTTTATGCGTGGCGTGCCTCACGTTTCTTGTCATTGGCGGCACGGGATTGGCCGGCACACTTGCGAGGCTCATCGGACCGGTGACCATCGTGCCGTTAATGATTCTTCTGACTACCAGTATTGTGCCGACTATTGAAAGTAAACTATCTCTCCATTGGATCTCACTCGTGTAAGTCTTCTCTAAGTTCCTCAGTAGGTTTTTAGTCGATACGTGGCGATCTCTAGTCGACCGCTAAGCCGCCTAAACCGGGAACTGGTCCATGAAAAAAAAATACAGATACCAGGGTAGAATCACAAACACTGACAAACAAAGCAGTCCTGTTTATGCCGGCGACAACATGATATTTGGTCGATTGAAATGGCTTCTTGGCCTCTTATGTTCTCATTTATCTTACAAACAGTGATCAAAAATCATCCAAAATTTGTTTACCTCTCCATCAACCAATGCAAAAACAGCTCTTCGGTAAAAGTCAGAGTGGCGAAAAAGTGTCATATTAGGCAGTGAAGGAACTTGAACAATTCTCTCGTTCTGACCGAGCTCCTCTTGCATGACGAGCAACTCCACGCGCGGGGAAGGGAGGCGATATACCTTCAATGGTCATCCTGATTGCAGAGAGGGGGGGGTGAGGGACGAGAATCATTAAAAACGATACACGACTCGGCCAATGTATTACAAGATGAAAGACCGAATATACATCAATGTTGAAAGTATGTGAAGGTGGGTGTCGGAGGGACGGCATCCAACAGAGACTTCGCGATATAGCAGAACATGGCAGAATGATCAACAAAACTTTGTTCATATCTCAAACAAATCGATTTTTAGGAGTTTTGACTCTCAAAATAAGATAAGGGGATAAGTGAAGGAACGAGTACATGAAAAATTCAAACTTGAAACGAGACCTCTGACAGAATGGTGAGTGAAAACGCAAGCACGCGCAGCTGTTATTCGCTGGCGCAGTGGGTAGGGCAGTGGCTTCCGCGCCCAAAGTTAAAGGTTGTGGTCCTGCCGCCATACGATACTCGCTCGAAAACCGCGGGCTACTGGGTGTGAATACGGCGGCAGAACGAGGTAAATCCAATAGATGCATCAAAGTGACTCCGCGAATCCGGCTGACTATAATCATTTAGATTTGACAATCTTTTTTCCATAAATCTTTTACTCAATACAACGTAAAAGTTATTATGATAAACGATGAGAGTGGCAAACCATAAAATCTTGCTAATTATAGATAGTAATTATTTAAACTTTTTTTCATTACCTACAGAGGGAAAAACCGGCAAAAGAGGGAATCAGCAAATTATATGATGCAAGGATGACCAAGGTGTGATGTAGTGGCGGGCGCTAGCTTACAGTACAACGGTGCGGGGAATCGAAATTTTTGGCATGGTCGCAGAGCGAGCTTTCATTCCCTCAAGTCAGCCGAAGTGCAGACAAGTGTGAAGCGATTAAAAACTGATTTGTTTTCTCGTCTAGTCTGTGCTGATTTACGTTGTATAGCATGACCCTATTCAGCATGCCAATAAAGATCTGAATGGAGGTAAAGATGATCGTGGCGCCTGACTGGGAATGACTACGCTTTTTTGTTGACAAACTTGTGGAGAATCTGTGATGACAAAGGTACTTAGGTACGTCCAGCAAAGCGAATAATAGCCTAGGTGGAAAAGCAAACATTCAAAAAAGGCGGTTCGTTCTGTGATATCACAAAGCCAACCTGCTTAGGATTGAAGATTTGCTCCTCACTGCGAAGACACCTGCTGAGCGGCGAGGAGAAGAGAGGTCTGCACGTTGGCACAAAAGCCAGGCGCGTCAATTCGGGTCAGCTTTTTGCTTCGCTCTTAGGAGGATAAGTGTCTCTGGTGTTTTCACTTTGTTCCAGAGTATACCGGACAGAAAATTTAGACGAATCAGATAGGCTTTCCTCGGTCAGTTCCTCGCAAACTATGAACTCGAGCAATCCCTTTTCGCAGAATGCCTTGTGACTTATTGCTATCCTGTTAGAGGATCCAAAGTAGTATAGCCTCAAGAGGCTTTCCATCGACTACAAAGGTGGAGCTTTTTGCAGCTTGTTGAGTACGGTTTTTACGGATTTAATGTTCGATGTTTTGGAGCGGTAGTAGGTTTCGCTGGTCAAGTGGACACGTTCACCATCCGCGTTGCATTCCCGGGGATCAAGTCCTTGGGGCGCTGCGTCTGTCGCGAGGCCAACCAAGCCTTCCACTCCCTCAGAGGAAGCGCTTAATTGGTGCCAGGCTTGTCTGACTTGTACATCGGCTGGCCCGCAAATCACTGTATAGGCCAAATCGCATTCGAGCGTCACTACGAATGTATAAATGGAGGTAGAGATGCGTTGCCGCATTCCACAAAGGGGTGGATTCAACAGCAGCTGTTCCTGCACCCACTTGTGCGTAAAATCGCAAAAAACTGTGGAGTCGGCCGTTTTTTGATAGTTGTCTGTAATAGACGAGTTCCAGGAGTTCAGAAATTATCTAATGGCTTTCAACCGTTTTGGTGTATGAGTTCTTAATGGTTTAATTGTGACATCCAACACTGGCTTCAGTTTGCATATGTGGCGGGAGGTTCACTATTTCAGAAGAATATAAAGGATAAAGGATAAAGCATTTGCCGTTGATCAATCCCTTTTTGGGATGCGGCACGCATTCTACTTCCATTTGTACATTCGTAGTGGCGTTTGAATGCGATGTGGCCTATACAATGACTTGCGGGGGCCAGCCGATGTACAAGTCAGTGTTTTTTATCCTCCCAAGTCTGGTACCAATTAACCGACCCCGGAGGGATGGAAGGCTTGGTTGGCCCGGGCGACTCACGACCCAGGATTTGATCCCGGACCGCTCGCGTGGTAAGCGCGCCACTTGCCACTACACCACTTCCGCCCGTTGATATATATATTTATAATTACAAATTAATAGGGTAAGAAAAATGTCTACTCCTCACCGGAAGTGCACAAAAAATATGAGAATAGAGAACCCGGAAAAAATAGGATATGATTGCGAGCACACCACGCTGTCTCCGTAATTTTGGCCAATTTTATAGAGCTCCATCACTACTAGTATGTTCCGAAACACAAAATAAAATGTCCAAAAATAAGCGACTTGACCTCGCTCTTTAATGTGATGCGGAGGTGGTTCTATGGACATTTTCTTCTACACATCTTTCGTCTTGCTAATAATGAAGAACCTTTGTTTTACAGTATGCTGGCCAGTGTCTCAGCGATGGCGGTATATTTGGAGGAAGTTCGTGTACCAGTTCCTTACTATTCATTCAATAAGATGCGAGTAATAATAACCAGACTTCGACTATTTGGACAATTTCCTGTAAGTTTTAGCCTCTTCGAATCGGGCATTCATAATAATCCATGTATTATTACGACAAATATCTCCGATACTGATAGGTGCCGTAATCGCATAGATCCCACTCCTTAATCCTTTTTGGGAGCTTTATCCTGCTTTTGAGTAGCGAAATCGAAAATGAGATTCAGAGAGAAGTAAAACACTCAACCTCTATAGTTTTCCTTCAAGTCGGGCCAGGTAGTTAGCCATGAATCGCTGCTAAGCTACCGTATAAATCCGCTGAGTTCTGTCTGTATCACAGGGGATTCCAATGTCCAAAATTTACGAGGGGAAAAAAGCGAGTCATTTGGCTCATGGCGCACATCACCATACTTTTCGTTGCGCAGGGTGCTGTTGTTGATGGAAGTTTTACGGCAGAATATTCCTTATAGGCCCTCCATAAGTGAAGCAGGCCCTCCTTCACTGCCCCACCGTCTTCAGAATATGACGTCATCTGTCATCACCGTCGAGCTCAAGGAGGCCTACCGTAATCGCTCCAGCCTGAAGCTGCTACATAATTTCTTCAATCGGTTAACAGATGGATTGCTTCCTAGAGACGCTAACTCTGACTGTGCGACCCCCTGTCCGGGGTTTCAGATAAGACCGTTATGGCCCGCGATAAGTCGGAACTTCATTGAGTCAAAACCGTGACTAATCCTCCCACGGAAAAAATCTTCTGATGCCGTCAGTCTAGAAGACGACGAGTTCTTCTGATAGAACTGAATGTGCTCTTCAATATTTAGTTAGGGTTTGAATTTAACAGAGTGTAAATATTCCAAATATTTCATATGTGGAGAGAGTGACTCTTTTCTAATGTTCTCCCCACGCATACTGCTCATGTAATGCTTTTCAGTACCTACTCAGCAGTGTTCCGTTGCTGGTGTGGTTTATTTGCTACCTCGATGACGGTAACCGATTTGGCGCACGTGGATGACAGCCGACCGATTAAAAATGTGACGATGATGGTTCTCAAAGAGTCACCATGGTTCCAGGTGCCTTTTCCTGGTATGTTTAGCTCACGCAAATAACTCAATGTACGGTGAAACTGTAGAGTTCCCTACAGTACCTTCTGTTCTGGTTAAGGTCAATTTGGCATGCCGAAATGCGAGCATGGACTGATGTCTTGGATATGTGGCGTCATGTTTATTCGAGCAGTTATTTGAGAATACATTGGGAGCTTAGCGATCTTTTGGCTCGAGTCTCACAACAGAAGGCGCCTCCAAAGAACGCTGTCAATCGCGCCATAATGGTCGAAGGTTGGTTGAGCTCTGACTTCTATTAGTTTTGTTGCCACTCGAGTGAAAATTCGCGGGTTCTGTAAATGGTGTCAGTGGAGCAGCTTTAGCCGAGCTGTCCAAAACATGACCATTGAACCTATTTTCAGCTTGGTTTGAATCAGCTCCTGTTGCGGGAGCTTCAATTTTTGTGCGCGCTCCCTGCAATTGGATCCCGACTAGTATAAAATAAAAAACAGCGTCTTTGACATAAGCTGATTCCAAAGTGACTTTCGAAAGGATCAATGCCAGAGCGTTCAGCGATCAATCCTACTTGGTACGGCCCCTGGGTAGTGCCGTGTGAGTGCCTGAGTTGCCCACTTACTGGTCCTCGAAATTCGAGGAAGCATTTTAGCCCCACTAAAAGTCGTAGTGACATTCGACTTAGCCTATACAATGAATTTCGAGGACCAGTCAGTGGGCAACTCAGACACTCACACGACACTCCCCAGACAAGTTTTATGTCGGTTGGAAAGGTGAAGGGGTTAACTAGTTCGGACAATGTGCGATTTAAGATTTGGTACGGACTACTGCGTCCTTCACTATGTGCCCTTCCTGTCAGCTGCATGAAGATGGAAATTATCATATTCAATAGTAGAGTCGTAGAACAAGTGATGATGATGCTGATGCACTCAAAACGATTTCAGTTGACTTGAAATGGCTGAGAAGACAATCTTCAGTGGTAGTGCAATCGCAACCATTTCTTGAACTATAGCGCAGTGGCTAGCGTGTCAGTTTCATGCGCATAGTCCAAGGATCAGTTCTCGCCATGAGATACCCGGCTTGGATGGCTCAGCTTGAGCCACTAAGCGATGAGGATGGCGTAGAACATCACAGGTTCAAAAACGTGTATCCGAGACTCACGAAGTCGAGATGCAATCATGAATCTGACAAACTGCTTTTCCTAAGGCTTTTGGGACACGTTCTGAATTGATCAACCAATTCCTGGTATGCGCCACGCTCTCAGCTTCCATTTGAAGCCGTGGTGGCGTTAGAATGCGATTTTTCGCAAACAAACTACTGCCGTGGTTTTCTCGATTGATCGCGCGTGGTACACGACCGGCGCCTCTTACCACAACACCACCCCTTGCCCTTATGGCTAGTAGCTTCCACGAAATATGTAACACCTAATGCTTCTGTGATGAAATCTAAGGAATATTTCTTTACCATGACATTTCCTGAGGATAATAACCATTTTCCATTTTTTCATCGAAATCCCTTTCCTTTTTTAGGTCTCGGCAGTATGTTTGCGTCAGTGATGGGAGTGTGTACAGGTGTCACAACGTACGCGGAAAACATCGCTCTGATTCACGTTACCAAGGTAATTTTAGGACATTGTGCGGCCAGAAATGCGTGCCCTCGCATCGAAAGAGATAGCGACATCATTTTTGACATCAGTAGAAATCACTTTTCGTCATAATACTGAGTAGGAGGGATAAATTTTCGAAGGGTAGAATTGACCGTTCATTGAAATGAAAGTCCTAGTGATGA